ATATTGTGTTCTTTTTTCAATAGTATACAACATGTACACTGCATGCTGCGTATGCAAAGTGAACTCCCTAGCAAACAGCAAGAACATAATATATTTAGCACAGATGTTTGCTTTTGGTATTAGGGAGCTCAAACCCACAATCCCTTCAGGACCATTTGACACCTTATCCAATAATAAGGCCATCCCCCCACCCGGGTCACACACACACGTTATGATTTCTTGTTTTAAAATTATTTTACTCTTAGACTATCTCTTATTTATTAATATAATTTTAATCTTCTGTGGATAATATAACAATGTAATTTCCAATATTATAGAAATTATACACAATTTTAACAATAACAAAGCTCTAATTTTCTAGTCTAGGCATGATTATATTTCTTAATATGACTAATCAATACAGTTATTAAACATCATGTCTGCATATTCTTCAGTGTTAATATTAATATCAAAGATGAATTGATAATACTTTACATGATTAGTATATTCCCTTAATTTTATATTTTATCCCCTTGCATAATATTTAATTCTTTACTTAATAATAGTAAAATATTACTCGATGGCATTATGATGCTTTAATTTCTGCACTGACACTGCATAATTGAATTTATGTTGGGGTTTTTTTTGCTATTTTTTTTACTATGCTTCATAAAATGATATATATTAACAAAAGAAATTGAAAAATTAATTAAATAAAGATAAATTAATAAAAATCACATTTACCTTCACTGCCATTTCCAAACATCCACTATTATTACCATTTAATAAACACTCACTTCCCAAATAATATACGGTAATGATTAATGCCAAAAGTTAGTGTAATATATTTTTAATCAAATGTCACAACTTTAGAGGGTCTGTAAATATCACTGAGCTCTCCCTGTCTAGAAGTTATTTTTCACAAGTTTTCTACTGTATAAAATACACATGTGACATGGAAACAGAACAAGGGTTAGCGTTTGTAACACAACCCACTTTAATCCTATTACAAATCTCGAAACAATTATACAAAAACATTGCATTAAGAAACATGTAAAAAATGCGTATCTTGATGTAACTTGTTTAAACAGTCACATCACTGTTGATTATTGGCAGATTTAAATACAATAGGAGTTGCATTTATACACAGAGTTTAAAGTGCTCCCAGAACTTTGTCAACTGGTCATCAAATATTTATTGCTTTTGATATATTAATTGGTATGTAAAATTTCGAAAAAATGTGATTATACTATAAGTTATTGCTAAAGGCAAAGATACACCTAGTTTTTTTTTTCTCCAGAAAGTTTACAAGATACAACTTAAGATATACAATGCAAATTCATTTACAATATAAATAATATATATATATAATAAATTATCATATAAAAGTATAAAAAAATAATTCACACTTACTTTTTGTTGGGGATCAGAACCAAAACTACTTTTTTGGCCTAACAAAATTTATTAATTGAAATGTCACTAAAATGACATTTGATTAATACAAATACCTTAAACGTTATAAGTCATAAAAGTTATTGAAATATTGACATAAAACCTAAATATTTAGAATGGTAGTAATTATAGAAAATTCTCAAGGCTTAATTTAGTTTTTACAGAATATATTTTAGTTTGAGTGTGTAGGAACCTATAAAGAATATTCAAGTTTCTTCTATAAATACAGGATTTATTTTCATCGAGTGGTATGAAAAAAAATTTTTCATGGGTGGCAGTAGCCACAAGTGAAATATGATAATTTTCATACCACAAGATAAAGCAAATCCTGTCTTTATAGAAAAAAAAACTTGAATTTTCTATTTATATACAATATTTCTCTTTTTAAACCTTATGAAAAGGAAGAATTCATCTTTAATTTGTTTGGTAGCTGAATTTAGAAAGTTGTCCAGCAAGACACTAGTGAAAATTTGGAAACATGATTCACTGCAGTGAAAAATAAGTTTTTACAGTGAAAATGCATTTTATTTCATCAATATTTCTCAATATTATATATAAGTATATAATAAAGTGATGTGAATCATTATTCCTGTAATTAAGTGATCGGTGATGTTGATCATTATTCCTGTAAAGTTGGTTGATTCTAACTCAAGCACTCAAGGAACAAATAACAACATAATGAAACGGTTTTTACTAAGTCAAGGGAAATAATGAATAATAAAATTAAATTTAAGCTTTTATAGACACAATCTCAAATCTTTTCTTGAACCACCAACCAGTACTGAGCAATGAGCGTTAAGTTTTTTGCTCACAAAAACAACACTTTGTCCCTGATGGGGTTTAAATTAAAACCCGACACTTTAATTATGGATCTTATTTACACAATAATTTCTAAGAAGGTAAATTAATGAAAGTTGATGCACATTTTAATCCAAACCTTGCTGGAATCAAAAAACGATAAGTCTTTGTCATTAGTTAGTATAAAGCCAAGCCAGCCTGCACCACCGTGCAGTCCGACCATCCTGTATATTGCTGGCTGACTAACTGACTGATCTTGATATCTGATAATGGATGATCCCAAAAATGGAATTTAGACAAGCCCATTGAGATTTAAAAAAGGAGTTGGAAAACCACACTAAATAATACCCTGCAATTAAGGAACTTGAATGATCAAATGCTAAAATTTCGCCATTTCACCCGACGAAATGAACTTTAAGTTGCCAAGTCTTCAAATCTATTTATATGCGATCATGAATGAAAAATGTAAGGATCTATTTTATGATCATGATTTCTGCAAGCCTCTAGAGACTTACTGCTCTATCACTGTAGTGACTTAAATCCATTAACCATTTAATAAATTCTGCAGGTTAAGCATTATGTAAGAGATAATTTGATGACTCTAGATACAAGCTTAATCATAATTTAGAACAAATTAAGTGATAATTATAATTTTATAAATTCATCAAATAGCAATCCATTTATACAGGTTTGAACTTAACACCTCCTAGCTGTAAGGGACAGTCAAGTTTTCCTAAACACAGACAGTGCTTATAATTGATAGCCAGATAACCGTCACACTGACAGAATGTCACTTAAATTACTAAATTTAATACAGAAACTTGAAAATCTATTTCAAGCCCGAGGCTGAGTTTTAGCTAGAGATGTAAATCAGGTGCAGTTTTATTTATAGCGTTTTCAAACAGTCATAAAAAATGTTAAACATGTTAAAGTTCAAGTTTTCAGCTCTTCAATTTTAAATAAATGAATTACTTTTCATTAAAATTTTAAAATTTTCATAAAACTTTAAAAGCTACTGTCAATGGAATACATTCAAAATTCCCCCTTTCAATCAAAAAAAAAAATTCGCTGAAAAAATGTCAAGGGTAATATTTTTCCCTTTTCCTACTTTTACAAGTGGTTTCAAGACCTTCTTCATGAAATTCACTCTGGGATACAAAAATTTACTTCGTATTAACACAAATGCTCATCATTTTTCAACAAAATGATTTTAATATACAATCATCATACAAACTATAAAGAAACATGCAAACCTTTTCTAGCATATATCTTATAGTTGCACTGCAAAAATTCTTTGACAAATTCACATCACATTCTTTCATGACTTGACACTGTTTGTTATTGTTCGCAATAATTCCTCAAATAATCTTTTCTATTCCCTAAACTTCTAAAGTCCGTCATAAATTGTATTTTCTCACAAAACCATTTCTATTCCCGAAATTTCATATTAAAGACCATATAATTCCTACTATTAAAATGATTTCTGATTTTCAGATTCCAAATGCAACTTAATTTCCTGGATAGAAATAATTACAACCAATGAGTTATCACTGTTAGGAAAGTTTAATTTTCAAACTCAAATATTAAATTGCTTTTGAATGTTAAACAACCACTGAGCAGTTTTAATAGTGACGCATGGGTACATTAAAATCGAAAATTCAAGGAAATTTATGCGATCAGATTTAAAACGCAACGATTTCCCCTCAATATGATGATTCATTTAACAAGATCAAATGTGCATCCTATACATTTGTATTTACTTGATACAATGATTTTTGTTTATTATCACTGAAATTGTTACAATTTATTCAATAATGGCGAAATGGTTTAAAACCGAAACAAGTTGATTTTCCTTCATCATTAAAGTATAATAGCATGTTGTTGTTTATTTTATATGATAAAATGGAATATATCATGAAATGTACGTCACAATAATAATGTTATAAAGGATAAATTGCTTGTTTTATTTTTCAATAAACAATTACATTGATTTCCCGCTATAATTATGTACATTTAATATAATAAAGCATGTTTTGTAACATTGTTTTTCATTGGATAATTGTGGCGTTTACATAATCTTCTTATACCTCTGCAGCCGATTTATGAAGTAATTTCTTTGGGTTATATATACAAACAACCGTTTATATAGGGCCATATAACCTGTTTTTTTCTTTTTTTTTAATTTGCTACCGGTAACTTATCTGGAGACTATAATAAAAAATAAAAAAACAGCAATGACTTTTTTACTTCTAATTAAAAAGCTATATCTTATGAAATGCTTTACAGAAAAATTATCTTAAAAAATGGCTGATTTTCTCAACAGACAATTTTGTAATATAGAATGTCTTGGCTAACACACGTCAACAATGTGCATACACAGAAAAAATTAAATGTTCACCATAGCAAACTACATGTATTTATGCTGTTAAGTTAACTTTAAGTATGAAATGATTTTGTGCATCTTTTATAGGAAATATTAATAAACATTTCTTTCATACAGGCATCTAGAAGTACCAGTGTTCTTTTATTCTAAAAAATAATTCTGCAAACCACAGGAAAGATATATAGCTTTATATATACACACGCACACACACGTCATGTCATAATTTTCCCATATATTTCCGCTATCAGCACATTATCAGACAAGCTTTAATAAAAATCTCGTCAATTAGTGTGTTGTAATAAATTAGCATCAAGAACCTAAAATTGATTAGAAGCAATGAGCTATGGTTGTCTAGCATGCAAATATAATAAAGAGATTCTTCACTTACCATTATAAAGGAAACACCTCTATGTGTGAGATTGGCAAAGTCAACAGACCTGTAAATAAATAATGAGCATTCTCTAAATAAAACAAGTCAGCAAGCAGCATGCTGGAATCGTACAGTTTCCGAGGCAGTCTTGCACTTTGCAAGTACACTTTAACACATATTACATTCAAGCCTTGATAATCAGTAAATTACTCCCAGCAGTGGCAGGCCAACTGTTTCAGAACAATTTTACATGTAATATTACATTCACTGCTTTAGGCAGTCTTCAGTTTTTACTTTTTGTTGGAAAAACGATTACGTGCAATGTTTCAAACTAAGTATTTCAATAATAATACCTAGGAAAAGTACATCATGTCACAGTTAAGCCTTTCTTAAATGAAGCCTGAAAGCTATTTATGGCCCAGGACTGTGATGTTCGTTTCTCAAAATAAAGGATTGGGAAATGAATCATCCACTTTACTAATGAATAACATAGAGAGTCGATGGTAGATTAGAGGTATTGTAGAGGGGTTTCTTTATTGTTTAAGTATGTTATCAATGACAAATTTCACTTTACACCTTAATTCTTTTGATTTGACAAATATGTGAAATAATTCATCTAAAAATAACACATTTAGAATATATATAGTCACACATTTGCATTCATTCCTGGAACCAAACTGTGCTGAGCAATAAGAGTAAAGTTTCTTGCCCAAGGAAACCACAGCTTGTCCCCTAGAGGGCTTGAACCCATGCCACTAGCAATCCTTAGATTACTTGTAAGAATGACGTGTAAACCACCCAGCCATGCTGCTACAGTCTTATTATTGAATTAAACTAAGAACACAGGCTTCACACACATTGCCATATATTAGGTGACTATGATTGTCTCAACACAATAACAATTTGTTGTCAAAATAGATGCCTCCACCAAAACTCACATATTGTCAGGTAAAAAAAGACTAAGCAAAACTATCATATCACTAAAGTGCATTAAATATCTATTATACATGATACAGATCATAAATATTCAAGTACCAACATATATCAATTAAGTTTTGTATAAAAATTTTAGACATTCAGAATGATCTTTTACAAATCATTCTGAGTCAAGTGTTTCACGTCTTATCTTTTTACAAGCTGGCTAGCATTTGAACACAACAATTAAGGCTGAATTATATATAAGACGAGTGTCTAACCTAGGAGTTTATAATATCATTCCTATCCAATTCAAATAAAAGTTTTTTTGTTTGTTTTTTTTTTCTATCTGAGAACAACAAAATCAATTGCAAAATTCAGATCCGTCATAAATTTCTATGAATACAAATTTTAAGAATTCAATAATTTTGACTTGTTGACAAAATGTCTTAAAATTACAAAATTTCAACAAAAACACAACAGAAGCAGGTGCACTAGCTGTCAAAACGGCATGTCTAAAGCTATACAAGCAGGTCAATGATGACAAAAGATACAGAATCATCAGAAAATACATGCAGAGGCCATTTATGAACATATGTGCATCATATTTCTATGCACAAAACTTTTTTTTTTACAGAAATCATGAAAAAAGATGTGAAATTAAAAGTAAGTCAGAAAATACTCGTTATTAAATTATATATTATCAATATTTGTCATCTGATATTGATTTGTTATGGATATTTTTTGGACGGAAGACAATGACAGTTTCTTTGTTGTTTTTTTTTCAATTTTAAAAACAACATGTGGCTTTCTGAAGGGGAAAATCTACGTAATAAATCAGAAAAAGGGGATAATCTGAAGTCAAATTCTAACAACCACTCATTTTATTAAATTTCAATTTCAATTTAAATTCATCATGCTTGGTACATAGCAGAGGCTATCTAAAGTACATCTGTCTCACTCACAGTGTTTCAGTCAATTAAATTTATCAACTAGCTGATGAACTTCATCTGCTATTACATGCAAGTCACGGTTCTGTTGATTAAGTGCACAGGGAAAAATATATCTATATAGGGCTAGGGGAAACAGCCTTATTCGACTGTAAAATACAGAAAGAAAAAATCACTGGAATAGCTCCACAACTTTCCAGAAATTCCAGCTAAAACTAATGTACCTAATTGCATGTAAGGTAGACGATTCTTAGAATCATTAAAACATTACCTGTTATTTACGACGACAGATTCATCGAGAACTTTTTTAGGGTCTGCTCTCTTTGAACCTTTTTGTGTGTCAGCACCACCTTTCTTATCTATGTTAGATTCTTCAATTACATTGTCCTCAATATTAAATTTTAATTCTTCTGAGAGTGGAGTATTTGGTAAACTTGCACTTTTTCTGAAAAAAGAAATAATACAACATTGTAGCTATGTGTTTATGCAGGACCCTTAAATTCAGCCTCACCATTGAATCAATATATATTTATATATTTTCCACCAAGTTTTGGAAAAGATTCTGAATCCCCTATTTTTATTCATTTTACTGATATATGTATCTGCCCAAAGAAGAGGACAAAAGTAAATCTTACTAAAATTTGATTTTAACAAAGTAGAATACATTGTATGTAGTGCTTTAACATTTCTTCAAAACAAGTGATCAAACAGGGTTCCTTTCTCTTTTTAGCGCTACATGTAGAATGTTACCTTCAAGTAACATTATAAACTGTTGCCCAGGTGTTTTTGTTTGAAAAAGAAGCAGACAATTTAATTACTTCTAAGGACATGTTTATGTAACAAACTAGAACTCTGCGAGTCGAATGTGTAGCCTTGTGAACAATATAGTTTAGGAAAATGGCCAGGACAAGAATGAAATATGAAAATTAACAAAGGGCAATAACTCTATATATAAGAAGTGCGGTACAGTAGTTTCTGTGCACTGCACTTCTTATCAATAAGATCTATCACCCTATGAAGTTTCAAGTCCATAGCTTTTATGATTTATGAGAAATGGCCTGGACAAAAATAAAGTATGAAAATTAATAAAGGGTAATAACTCAAAAATAAGAAGTGCAGAGTACCGGTTCTTGTACACTGCAATTTTTATTAATGAGATCTATCATCCCATGAAGTTTCAAGTCCATAGCTTTATACTTTAGGAGAAATGGCCTGGACAAAAATAAAGTATAAAAATTAACAAAGGGCAATAACTCAAAAAATAAGAAATGCAGAGTACCGGTTCTTTTGCACTGCACTTCTTCTTAATGAGATCTATCATCTTATGAAGTTTCAAGCCCATAGCTTTTATACTTTAGGAGAAATGGCCCAGACAAAAATAAAGTATGAAAATTAACAAAGGGCAATAACTCAAAAATTAAGAAGTGCACAGTACCGATTCTTGTACACTGCACTTCGGGTCATTATTAGAAGCATGCATACCAAGTTTGAAGTCAATCAAACTTATAGTGACTGACTTATGCTCCGGACAAGATTAAGAGGACGCCGACAAAAACAACCCCTTATAATATGTCGCCTTTTTCAAGGCGACACAAAAATTAGTTGATGCAAATTGGATTAACAGGCATATCATTCTACGACACTTCCTCAAGCCACTTCTGCAAATCTGCAAGCATTCCCTGTTTCTGTCAACACTTCACCCCCACCAAACCCATTTTTCAGTTTTGTGCTTTACACAAGTTAAACTAGAACTATCGCTGAATGCGATTCATACCCCCACCAATGTCCTTGACAGAAGACCACTAGGAAAGGTGGTTAAGGGAATAACTTATGTGGCACAAATACATAAAAAGAAATTATCTCTGGTGAAAAAAAGACTAATTGTACAGGTAATAGTATAAATATATATTATCAAATCATGTTCTAAACAGTTACAAATAACCTTTCATTTTCCCAATGTATTAAACATTTTATTTATAAGTCAATTTTTGACCTTCAAGTGTGGCCTTGACCTTAATCTGGCACAAGGGTAACATGGGTTTTGCACATCACCCAGTTTGGTTGAACATTTGGGTAAAGTTTGAAGAAAATCCTTCCATTAGTATAGAATTTATAGAGTAGACACAATATATTGTCTAGTATTGGTTGTATGTAAATTTGAAGACTAAAAAGGGGCATAACTTTGTCAAAATGCAATACAGAGTAATGAAACTTGACCTGCACACCTCATATATCTTTTAAGTTTCAAGCAAATGCCTGCGCTAGTTTCAGAATTATTCAAGTACATGTTAAAATTTAAGAACATTTTCTAAGTCAATTTTTGACTTTCAAGTGTGACCTTGACCTTTAGCCGGCACAAAGGTGACATGGATTCTGCACATAACCTTGTTGAGGTGAAAATTTGAGTAAAGTTTGAAGAAAATTCTTCCATTAGTATAGGATTTATAGAGCGGACACAACATATTGTCTAATATTTGATTGTATGTAAATTTGAAGACTTAAAAAGGGGCATAACTTTGTCAAAATGCAATACAGAGTAATGAAACTTGACCTGCACACCTCATATATCTTTTAAGTTTCAAGCAAATGCCTGCGCTAGTTTCAGAATTATTCAAGTACATGTTAAAATTTAAGAACATTTTCTAAGTCAATTTTTGACTTTCAAGTGTGACCTTGACCTTTAGCCGGCACAAAGGTGACATGGATTCTGGATTCTGCACATAACCTTGTTGAGGTGAAAATTTGAGTAAAGTTTGAAGAAAATTCTTCCATTAGTATAGGATTTATAGAGCGGACACAACATATTGTCTAATATTTGATTGTATGTAAATTTGAAGACTTAAAAAGGGGCATAACTTTGGTAAAATGCAATACAGAGTAATGAAACTTGAACGAACAGCATATTGGAATTGTGACCCTTCAAAAATATATTAAGTTTCAAGCAAATACCTTTTCTAGATTTAGAAATATTCAAATAAATGTTAAAATTTAAGAATATTTTCTAAATCAATTTTTGACCTTAAAGTGTGACCTTGACCTTAAGCCAGCAAAAGAGTGATATAAGTTCTGTACATCCCCTGGTTGAGATGAACATTTGAGCCAAGATTGAAGAAAATCTTTCAATTAGTGTAGGACTTACAGAGCGGACATGACATACTGTGTAATATTAGATTGTTTGATATTTGACCTTCAATTGTGACCTTGACCTTGAGCTGACACATGGGCAACATGGGTTCTGCACATCCCCTTGTTGAGGTGAACATTTGAGCCAAGTTTGAAGAAAATCTTTCAATTAGTGTAGGACTTACAGAGCGGACACAACATACTGTGTAATATTTGATTGTTTGATATTTGACCTTCAATTGTGACCTTGACCTTGAGCTGACACATGGGCAACATGGGTTCTGCACATCCCCTTGTTGAGGTGAACATTTGAGCCAAGTTTGAAGAAAATCTTTCAAGTAGTGTAGGACTTACAGAGCGGACACGACATACTGTGTAATATTTAATTGTTTGATATTTGACCTTCAATTGTGACCTTGACCTTGAGCTGACACATGGGCCACATGGGTTCTGCACATCCCCTGGTTGAGGTGAACATTTGAGCCAAGTTTGAAGAAAATCTTTCAAGTAGTGTAGGACTTACAGAGCGGACACAACATACTGTGTAATATTTGATAGTGTTTGATATTTGACCTTCAATTGTGACCTTGACCTTGAACTGACACATGGGCAATATGGGTTCTGCACATCCCCTTGTTGAGGTGAACATTTGAGCCAAGTTTGAAGAAAATCCTTCAATTGGTATAGGAGTTAGAGAGCGGACACGAAAATGGAGACGGACGGACGGACGGACGGACCGACGGACGGACGGACCGACCGACGCGACAAAGCAAATCCATTATAGCCCCCCCCCACATTTTGTGGTGGGGGTATAATAAAGCTGAAGGTGAAAAAATGTTAAATGCAATCATTATGGTGATTGAGTAGGACAGATATTGTGATTATATTATTAATGTAATTGACAATGACCTTATAAATAAAGATATTGTTAATTTGTTATTTTTTACTAAAAAGGGCTCATATCAAATGATAATTTTGAAATCGCAAATAAATTGTTTAATGTTAGATAATGAGATTTTTTAATCTTATTTTTTTTTAATTAAATTAATACCAGTAGACATTTGCAGTGAAACTCTAAAGTTTAACTTCAGTAAGCCCAGCGGGGATTTTACAAATTCAAAGACTCACCTCAGATCAAAATTTGCTTAACCAGCAGCCTGAAAAATTTCTATTACGATGGTTTATACAAAAGTGTCAATATTGAAAATTAAACTTCAGCTATAAATTGTAACACCTTGAATTTACCCGACTGCATAACAGTTACACAGACAACTGAATGATAGAAAAAGATATTTCTGCAAACCATTCATAGCGAGCTCGACGAGCTGGCCCAAAGGGTCAGCTGGCAAAGCGAGCTTTACGGTAATGTGAGTACCTGCTAGATAGTGATGGTTTTGAAAACTTTCGTCCGAAGTACCGTATTGACACATCACAACTTTTCGAATTACAAGATAACGATAAAAGCCAATGTAATCTGATTGAAAACGGAAGCGTAGACTGGTGTCCTGCGTACTTATATGGGAACCATAATAGAGAGGGGGAACCAGAATAAACGGAAGGAGTGTATAAAAAACCGAATGACAATTTTAAAACTGAAAATGTAAAATAAAAATGAACGCTTATTTAATACTATTTTAAAGTAAAAGAAAATCGAGCTCGCTTTGAGGCTTTGCCTTTTTCATATTAATGTCTATAAATAACTTTTCAAGTAACAAATTTATTAGGCATAAACTTTGCCTTCTTTCATGTTAATCTAAAATTCTCAGCTAATGTAGAGCCATAAGGATTAATTATTCATTTATCTAATACGGGGAAGTCTAAGCCTGGGGCCACGAAGCTGCTCCGGACTTTTGCTTGCCCGGCTATAGAATACAGGTGTATATTTAAAAAGAAAAAAAAAACATATAGAATTCTATACCTATCAGCGAAATTTTCAGTACCATTTCTTGTTGGGCGCCGTAACGCAATGATAAACGGCAGTGTATTCCGATAATGGCCAATTGCAACTTTTCGACTTACTAGTTTACGTTAAAAGCCGAGAAATTCTGATTGAAAACGGATGCGTAGACTGGTCCCCTGCAGCCTACCATTGGGGACCATAATAGGACAGGGAACCAGAATAAACAGAAATAGAGGATATTGAATGAGTGTAAGTTCAATACTGTATTTATTGCACGAGTTGAATGCAATTATATTATGCGAGCCTCTGGCGAGCACAATATTATTTTATTCTACGAGTGCAATAAATTCAGTAATGAACTTACACGAATTTAATAGCGAGCTCGACGAGCTGGCCCGAAGGGCCTGCTCGCAAAGCGGGCTTGACGGTAACGCGAGTACCTGCTAAGTGATGGTTTTGAAAACTTTCGTCCAAAGTACCGAATTGGACACATCGCAACCTTTCGAATTTAAAGATAACGATAAAAACTGAGGAATTCTGACTGAAAACGGATGTGTAGACTGGTCACCCGCGCACGTCTATGGGAACAATAATTGGACAGGGAACCAGAATAACGGAAGCTGTGTATCAAAAATGAAAATCGAAGGCGCCATTTTGTTTGAAATCTGATAAATAAAAACATTTTTTTTTGTCGAATTTTGTTGTGAAAACTATCTAGAATGAAAGAAAATGGTCTAACTAAGAAAATGAATCCGAACACCAATATCTTTTATTCAGTCGTTAACGCTGTACAGACGTTTAAAGTATTGTTTACGTGACGTCACAATGTAGCGCCAAACAGCACGTGCAAAACAAATAAATCAAGTACGCTATTTTTATGTCGCAAACGTTTTAAGTTTTACATTAATTTTACTTTAAATAATCTTTATTTCGCTTGATAAATTATAGAGTGAAATAAAATAAACAAAGTTTTATCAACATTTTCAAAACTCGTTATTCATTTCACGACAGGGGGGAGCCATAACACAGTACGTGTGACGGTACACGCACTCGTTACTGCATTTGAAATAAAAATGAGTGATTATTTCATACTATTTCACGTAAAAAGTACATCGAGCTCGCTTTGAGGCTTTGCCTTTTTCATATTATTCTATTTATCACATACCCCCAAAAAAGACCGTTTAAAGTGTAATAAGAGTCATTTTTTATTGACGCGCCTATAGTATAACGCTTACATTTAGCGCGTCTTTACACTTTGATTGTATAACACTAATGACGTCACGTCAAAATATATGCACGGCCGTGCAATACCATATTTACGGAGTCGCAAAATCGGCACGGGTGTGTGATTAACAGTGTATAGAATACCGAATGGTACTTTCAAAACGGAAATGTAAAATAAAAATGAACGATTATTTTAACCGACTTCCCGGTTCATATGCTTTGCCTGATTTCATATTATTTATTAAAAAGATTGTGCCAAAAATTATGGCCACCATCTAGTCCAATATATTAGACGTTACAGGCTTGTTATAGTTTATGTCGGTCAAGCCTGACGTCTAATAGTTATTGCTCAAAAACGCATAGCATCATAAAAAATTCAAAAAATGTCTATTGTCTTGCCTTTCAAGCTTTATTCAAAAGCTTATCTTCTTTTCTTTCAATTTCATGCTCAATCATACACAAAAACTCTCAAACAATGTACTTATCAATTTAAAATAAAATATAAACATCAATCTATTTTTGTCTATCAGCCATACTGGTTAAGCAAGGTGCTTTACAGATTGATTCCAAATTTTTGAACGGAAAAATATATTCGAACACACTGACGGTGCATGGGCAATTATTTCGTTCAAAAAATATTCCGTTAGATTGTTCTGCCTCACTTAAACGCTTGCATTTGAATTAGCCAATCAGATTTCGCGCACTTTATGGCCGCCATTTGTTTATCGGCTGTAAAAAGAATTGAAATACATGAGAGGATTAAATCATGATTTTTCGGATGTGACAGTTTAATTATTTTGACAAAAGGTATTTATTTTTTAGTTTTGTTCATAAATAGGTCAAAACTTATGTAAATACACGCTGTCTTAATTGTTTTTCGTTCCGCCCGATTTTCTGGCGGAACATGCTATGGGTTTTTGAGCAATTTCGATATGACGTTGCTTTGCCCAGAAGCAAAAATATCTCAAAGCGACGTCATATTTATAGGACTAGGCCACCATCTAGATTCTAGTCAAGCAACACTGAACAATTTTCTATTTCTAGACTAGAAAGAAGACTGAATGCAATGTATAATACACTAAGGAAGTTTGGCAAATGATTCACACCTTGTCATGTTGGACTAATTAACATACCAGGAATTTCCCCGTCAGTGTCACCGATTTTGACCGAATCGGTGGTAAATAAACATTAAAAATATGCCAAAATAACACGTCTTGCTTGAAAAACCATAATTTTTTATCATGCAAAATAAAGTAAAATACGTACTTAAATTATTGCAGTGTTTACCGGTATCATTTTACGTCCTGTTTCATTTAGCATTGCTTACTTTCTCTTAAATGTCACCTCATTTGTTGTGGTCAGCCATGATGGATAAGGTGATTTATATCATGACATTTGATTGGACAGCCGGATTTAACTGGGATAAAAGATGTTCTTTCGTACCGAAACCGTAGATATCGCATGACTATTATCTGGTTCCCTGCTTACTGCACTATGATTCGTGCTACTAGTGTTTAAACGTGCAGGTATTTCTGACTAGGGAAAATAATGTAAACCTTTTTTTTTCTCTTTTTTTTCAATGCTCATTAATGCTAGATTAGAATTATTCAAAATTCGCATTTAAAACTCCGGTCAGAAACAGAAAATATATCCATCCAATTTCAAGGAAGTAAATTGTAAAATGATAAGAAGCGCATGTATGACAGATAGCACGTGTATATAGGTCATAATCTTTTCATTGGGAAAATATCACAGATGATGAAATTTCTTAAAGAGAAAAAGTAAAATTGACCACAATAGTGAAGTTTTGCTCAGTTTTGCTTGATTTTGAACCAACCGTGTCATTTAAAATGGATCATACATATAGCTTTTACAGTATTGTGGCTGCAGATATTATAAATTATATAAGCTAGTGCAATATGCGGTTAGTTTGTTTCTATGATTAGCACTCTCGCACTTCATTTATGATAAAATGCCTTTTCAACAATTCAAATGAAGGAAAATTTTATCACAAGAACTTTTCAATGTTGCTTAAAATTTACACTCCCTTTCCCTCCACTAAATTCCCGCCCTTACATGTACATAGTAAGAATCAGCCTCAGTCTTCTTTTTTTTTCCTGATTTTTTAAGCACCAAAACCGATATTCTTTAAAATTATTTTCATGTGATGAATTATTAGCTTGATAGCCCCATTATTTAAAATTTCAAATATGTAAGTAAACAAAACTTTAAAAATGGATTGAAAATCATACTTCATTTGTACACACTAACATAACAATTTAAAGAAGCTTTCCCCACACCCTTGCTGATTTTATTGAATTTCCAAGAATTGTTTCCATTAGAAACAACTCTTCCAGGTATTCAAAGTGTACATGAAAGTGATAATCGCTAGCCTGATTAAACGACAACATTTGCTATCTGCAAAATATAAATCAAGTAGAATTCATTATGAAATGTTGAAAACTTGGGTAAAAAACTGATATCATATTGTACATAAAACCTTTTTTTCCATAAAGCATGCCTATTGTCATTTGGGTCATGGTATTTGTTCATATTTTGGGATCTTAATTCTTTCCCCTTTTTTCAAAGATTTATCTAGTTCATCCATCTGAGTCTTGGTTTGATTGATTGATAACTGATTGATTGATTGATTGATTGATTGATTTATTGACTGGTTGGGGTTCATGTCATACCGAACAGTGTTTTCCAGTTTAATTAGTGGGGTGACGGGTGCCCCTCTATGCTTTATTACAGGCACAAGCGGGAACCTGCCGTTCAGTAAGCAAACTGATGAAAGAATCCATATAGTCCATGGAGGGATAAGGGACACTCTTAGGTTGAAGACATCAACGATCTTATCCACTCGGCAACAAACATTTTCTAGAGCCTATATAGAAGTTGTATGAGCAGGACTGATAGCGTTAATTTTAATTGACCAGCTATCTATAAAATATCTACATCTTCACGCATGTATACTCGTTTTTCCCTTTATTGAGAAAGCAATATATCACTATGCATGCAAAACTTCACTTGGTAACCATATGTCAACATGATTCAATCAATGTCATTTCTAAACTGTTAATGATTCCATTGAGATTTAAGGCCAAAAAATGTGTTGCGAAAGATAAATAAAAACAAAAATACCTTAAACTTTTCTGCAAACGGATTCCCTTCAAACTTCCTGACCTGAAAAACAAATTAAAGGAAAGGTTCACATCTCTTATAGACGGTGTTTTTTACGATGAAATACTCGGGTATTTGGCTCAATTGTATAGTCTATGCTGATACTAGTAAAGAAAAATCCCCTCCACATCGAAATAGCTGCACCCGTCCTATATCACATGTATCATATAGTAAAAGGGTACTGGGTTGAATTTTTGTCTTTGATTATCAAAGTATCAATATGTTATGACAGTATTTTGATTTTCAACCAGACAAATGACTAAATTCTTGAGACCCAATGACCACATAATGTGTTGTACTTTCGTTTCCTACTTATTGCGTTTAAATATAAGTTGTCGCCCTTACGAGGATTCTGGCGTATTTTTGACTGTCGCTTGATGGTACTGATGGTGGTAGTTAACCCTCCAGATTACGGTAGTAAACAACATTGAAATGACCAGAACACAGTTCAGCGACCGCTTGGTCCCTGGGCCTAGCCCATTGTAGAAAATACTTGCCAAATTAACCATATGATGACTTTAAACGTTGTTTTGTGTGTATTTTAAATGACTTCGGTTTTTTTTTTTAAATGACAAAACAAATGTTGGAATTTCCGGAAAAGGAAAGCGATTAGCATAATTTTGGACCTCACTTGACTTGTATTGTGCTGTCGTTTAAAGCTGAAGTCAGTTTCATCAATAATTGTTGCAAAGCTTCTTTCATTTGCTGTTGTTCCAGAAATTATAATGGTGAATCGGCGAGGAGTTCCGCAATAACTAAGAAAACATAAAAATCACAAAGTGATATAATTTTACAACAGCTCGTGTATATTCACCCCAATACAAAAGTTTATATAAATTTGCTGCTAGGTTGTTTTATTTGGCACCATGTAATGTAAACTTGATTCGGAAATAGTTCAAGATAATTCAGCATCTTCTTAAAGATATGTTGCCAGATTCTTGTTTATACAAATAAAAGATGGAATGAATTGAAACCATGCTGTATGTGCATTTTATTTATATATTTTTTTCTCTCAAAATGTTTTAAATGGCATTATATATACTTGTACATTATTTGTAAATGTTGGTATTAAAATGGATACAATGTGCACATTTTCCATTAGTTTTTCAAATACATGTAGTGATAAAATCAATCGAAATGTATCACTTGGATGGTCCTTATAAAATATTGCCTTTAATTAAGAGTTTAAAACATATCATATCCGTACTGTATCCATTTAGCCTCGTTTCCAGAGTCCAACAAATTCATATGAAACCCATATTGTACTCAAAATAACTCTGCCTGCCGTCGTGAATTATTCTTGTACGAGTTATCTCTCTTATAGACTTGAGACGCTTTTTTAAAACTGTGTATTATCAAGCATAAAGTCGATGTGACGCAACGATCGTTTTTAATGAAAACAAAATTCTGTCAAAATGATAAAAATTAGTGGTGTGAAATAAAGTTATCATTATACATTGTTGAGTACAATTCTGATTCGTTCACAACTGCAAAACCTATATTGGTATTGAACTCATACAATATAGATTTTACAGCTGTGTACTCGTCCAGTAGGATTTAATATTGTACTCAACAATAAAGATCTCATAATGCTTGAAGGATCCTTTCGCTATAAAATTCTAATTTAATTAAGGTACCTTTACTTACTAACATATATTTACTGTATATTTACTTTTAAATCGCTCCATGTTATGGAGTTGCATTTTTTACACCACTGAAGCCTGCTTTACCACACACAACTTTTGTACATGTATTCCTGATTTGCCTTCTGACAAGGATATAGATTATATAACATTTCTACTGGCCGTACTATATTAAGTTGCAAAAGAAAGTGTGCACTTGATTATTTGGGAATTCTGTATAATAGTGGCAAACTTTATATCAAAATTTGCAGAAATGTATTTTGAGCATACAATTCTTTATTTGTATTGAAATTCGATAATTATCAGAATTTTTGTTTCGTGTAAGTGACGGAAGGGTAGAGGGTGGAAAGTTAAAGTTGCGGAACTGTGCTTTTTATCGCATTTTTGTCTCGTTGCGTGCATGACCATTAATTAGTATCTTTTGCATACATCTCATCATTAAATTAACGAAAGTGTTCAAAACTGCATGGACAAGACGTCATATGGACTATAGACTTAGGTTTGTATGATGTTCCATTCAAAAATTCTAATATCCATAGGCAAAAAAGAATATACAAAATGCACTATTCTGCAAATTTTATTTTTCATTCCTCACCTATTTACACGTAACTAAAGTTCTGATAATAATGAAGTTTTTCAATTAAATATAAACCATCGTATAGTCAAACGGTTTGCAAATTTTGATATCAAATATGCCTTTATTTTACTAAAATAAATATGCAAAATTTCCATGTAAGCAGGTGCACACTCTTTTTTGAAACTCAGTATATTCCATGGTCCTGAAGTCTTATATCATTAGACTTGTAAACAATCTATAAAATGCAACTATAAGGGAACCATTTCTTACAAAATGATTTGTTAAAGCTGCGCGCCTCCAGATGAGCCAAAACATTTCAAGAAATTCAGTCTTTAGAAAAATGTATTAAGATCTTAAGAAAAGTAAAAAAATAAAGGCGATAAAGGCATGTCAGGAACATTTCTTGACCATTTCAATGTGGGCTCACTGAGTATTTTATTTATTTCTATATTAGATGTAATAAACCGCATACATTGGGATGCATATGATTAATTACATGTTTGTAATTAGCAGAATTTGTTATAAATTTTGTAAGTTCTACCGAACACCCGCTTTATAAGAATAATTGTGATTACTAACGCAGTAATTAGAGGTATTTATGTATATTTTGACCTCTTTTTGGTAATTTACGTGGAATGTCAGTGCCATTTGCAATATGTGAATTATTTTCTTTGGTCTTTTCACAGTATTTTACTTTCAAATACATTTTCAAAATTTTCGTGAACATTAGCATAAATCTGGAGGCATGCTGCTTTAAGTCATTAATAAATATTTCTAATTGACAAATATTGCATTTGAGAATAAGACAGAGGTAGAAATGTTTAATTACTCAAATGTTTCTTTTACTTTAATTCATTTTTCCCCTGCCTATTTATAATATTTTTCTTTTGATCCGTCCCGCTGTACAATCAGATTATAATAATTATATAAATTAATTTACACTATGAGCTTCATAATAAACATAATGTTAATGTTCTTTACAGAATATCTATATTTAGTAATGACCATACTATAGTAAAATGTTAGACATTAAAAAGATTTTCAATCCAATAATCATTAAACTTGATCAGAAATAAACATTATAGAAACAAAGACATAGTTTAATGTTTACCTTAAGAAATCCAGTTTCTTTTTCGGCAAAGGGTACCGCACGTGGTTTCCGTGTTGAACGGACATTCCAGTAAACTGAGTATTATTCCATTTCGTGTAGGTTATTTCAATCAAATCCTAATTAACCTGTTGACACTACCTTTCGATTTATAGCTTTGTCATAGTATACTGAAAAATAACCGATCACTTTTTATGTTCAGCTATATTGAATGGTCATTATTCGAAAATAAAATTTCGGGTATATCTTAACACATTTTGTACTTTGTAGCGGTGTAATTTTAAATTCCATTTTAAGTGGCACTAAAGTCTTTAATAATATTATGCTCTACAAATACTGCCTACATTTAAATCACTAAAAAATCTGAAGGTTATATTGACAGTGTATTTAGAAATAGCAGAACAAAAGTAGTAGCTCAGGTTACATGTATAAATGATCAAGTTAATCGATTTAAACCAAAGCACGGCTTTTAACATTTAGCACTTTGTTATTATTTCTGCAACGTGTCTTTCTGTAAAAGAAAATAAATCGTTAAAACCCCATCGAGATTGGAAACACGAAAGTTTCAAATGTAAATTATTCTTCACCTATATATATTTTTTTTCTTCTTTTTACATGATTGACCTAGTTTTGTCTTATAAACTCTATATATATATTTCTTATAACTAGAACTTAGCGACTGAAAGTCTTCTATAGTGAGTATGATTTTATTGTAGAAAAACAACAGCAAAAAAGAACAACAACAACAACAACAAAAACAAGACAAAATTAAAAAAAGAAAAGAATAAAAAAAAGACAAAAACTAAAATCAACAACTTGTCTCTTATATTCAATATATTACAAATGTACTATCATTTGTAATGTTATTATGCTCGATTAATTGTTAATTGCGATTAATTGTTCATTGTTAAAAACATGAATGAGATTTTAATCCAAAATTGGTATTTAAATTTAATCTACCCTTCTCCTTTAATTTATCGAATGAATTTCCAAATAAAAGCACATGGTGTACATGAATTAACTCTTGAATAATTTTAGATAACAGCAAGATCCCTGATATAAAATAAAATTCAACATCTATTATACTATAAAAAATACTGATTGTAAAATAGCATAGGTATATAACTACCGTACAAACACATTTAAAGTTTACGGTTTTCAATATTCAATAATCTTATGCAATGATTTATTCATTCGTCCACTGGTCACTGAAATATGATACGTTTTTATACACCTGATTTCAGATTTGATTTATACAAGTAAATGAATGTATAAGGTTATCGTGTGATCAAAATTTAGGACAAACATGCTATATAATTATTCTTTAATGACACCGTCGTTATGTCGACACTGTTGAATGTTGTTTTCATTGCGTTATTGACCTCGGATACCAGGCGACACTACACGGGAATTAAATTTAATTACCGCGATTTTGTTAAATATCCATCACTTACATAAGCATTTTTTTATCAAACATCCGAACAGAAAGGGAAATTATTGTGACCTTTCTCAGCAAAATAATTTTTGAATATTTTTGTCTTCAGTGAAAAGTTGATGTTAACATATTTAACTTTATTATTTGATATTAACATACTGAAAACAAATCCCTTCACAAATTTATAATAAGATGTGTATTCTTATAACGAAGTGTTTAAAAAATAAAATTTGTTATCATCACACTTATCGTAGGGTTAAATCAATGCAATTCGCCAGTTTAATATCATTATTATCTCTTAAAATCTATGAGCGCCTTAATTAGCGTCCCAAAAAGTTGAATTAGTTTATTCAAAGGAAAACAGGTATAAATATTTCATGTATTTTTACCGTGACAAAAACTTGTAAGGGGATGAACGCATAGTTACGTGGAAGACCATATTTTATGGCAACTAACGTATCATATTTCAGTGACCAGTTGACGAATGAAAAATCATTGCATAAGATTATTGAATATTGAAAACCGTAAACTTTAAATGTGTTTGTACGGTAGTTATATACCTAAGCTATTTTACAATCAAATAAGTATCCTCGCGAGCAATGGGGAAACAAGGACTCGGTTTGATAGAGTGTGTTCAGGGGATAAAAATGAAGACCCCGAGACACGTCGTATGAAACAAAGAAAATAAGGTAGTTAAATTGTTTTCTTTCTTTCAAAGTGCCTATCATAGACCAAGTGAAATGATAATTTGATGTGAACGTGAACGTAACGCAGAATAACTTGGTTATAACGTTCCAGTACCTTTTAGTTCTTTTAAAGTTGTGCGGTTTTTTGTGTGATATAAATCTCTGATTCTTGCACAAGTCACCATTATACATGTACTTTAGAATATTACAGACAATGAAGCAGTAAATGTTTTGAGCTCTTATACAAATTTAAGGCACCTTTCACCAGCATTTCTTTTTTAATTTTGATACATTTGTATCTCTAAAAACTTTTTATTTTTATTTTTGATGTCCTGTTTTAGTTTCCAAAAAGTAACTACTTAGCCAGCTACCTGAATCATCTATTGCGTCTGTTTCCTTCTGGCAATTAGTACATAAATTAGTACATTAATTGTTGTTATGTATTTAAATGAAAGTCAAAAAACTACTTCGTCTATATTCTTTTACAAATACATAATTGTAGTTTCATACTCAGCGCTTCTTTCTAAGTATGTACGTTTCGTGTTCTAAACCATTATCATTTAGATAAAACTCACTTTTGTCCTGTCTAAAGAAGGAAACATGCTTTAATTTCTGAGGAATATTGTGCCTTTACAGTGTGACAATCAAATTCAATAATGAAATTATTAATGTCTATGTCATAAAAAGCATATGATGTTTACTTAAATCAGTGAAAGAATTCGATGAAATGATTAAATACCGAAAACGACCCTTATTTGCTTAAATAAATCCAAATCATATCACTTACACATACTAGTAATTGCAATGTTTGCAAATGGATTCTACTTGGTTTTAGTTTTTATACACTTTGAGTGGTTTTACCAAGTGCGGCATGCATTATAAACTTCCACGTGATGCGGCATAAAGGCGATTGGACGACGAAGTCAAATTATGAAGAATATTAGGCGAAAAACGACACCTAAAATGTGTTGCATTGTCTCCATAATTTTGTTGCATCTTCAAATGTTCACGTCCATAGGGCAAAAGTTCAAAAACACAGGAAAGCGGTCACGAAATCGCATTCCGTCCTATCGCGATGGGTCACACGAAAAACTATACTTGTCACTAATCACCCACCATATTTCAGTTTTAATTGGTACATGTACTGAGTAATCAAAGTAGATTTATTATAACATATCTTAAAGTTATTAAAAGTTTTTGTTTGTGTGCAAAACGATAGCTGAAAAGTGTGGATTTTATAAGAAATTATAATTATTGAAGACATTTGTGAAGGCATCCGTCAAAGACCATTAAAACACAGTTAGGTCTTTAGACTGACCTATATGAATGCAAATTCTTTTTTAGGATGAACACATCTGCGGATGTTTCTAAATTCCAATTTTCTCCATTTTTGTGTTAAATGTTGAATTCTGCTTAAGCCGGTGCTAGGGGGCGTGGACGGTAACTTGCATTTTCCAGTACCGTCCATGGACAGGCTCAATCAAACCGAGCCTGCAACATTTTCAATTTTGTTGTGTTGGAATTTCTTTGGAGATTCTGTTTTTAGAATTGAACATTTAAACACAAAAAATGGTGAAATTATGAATTCAGAAACATCCGCAGACGTGTTCATACGGCGGTTATCATGGAACCTTCAACGTGACACAGTAATGCAATTCCACGAAAAGCGGCGTATGGTCCCTAAGTAAAAGATTGCGTGTGCCCTAAACGAGAAAACAATGGGTGGAACTAAATGAAATGGAATTTTGAAAGGGGATCTGAGGTTATGAAGCTTGCATATCACAGGCAAGATGTCAAAAGACAAATAAAAAGCAGGCATCATATCCTAAGGGCTATTATACAGTATTCAAGTAGGAATACTGGAACCATCCAAGTTGAAAAATTCCATATATAAGAAACTATAAATAACATCTAGAATGTATACACAACAATAATGTCGTGCTGAACGATCTTCAAGGATCAAAAATATAACATCATTGATTAAATGTACGGGGAGATATTTTACAGCCGCCACACGGCACAAATAACACGGATGTGACAATGAAATAGAGAAAAACAGAATCCCTAAAGAAAGCCCAACACGGCAAACTTGTAAAATGTTGCAGATTCGGTTTGATTGAGCCTGTTCATGGACGGTACTGGAAAGTGCAAGTTATCGTCCACGCCCCTAGCACTGGCTTAAGCAGAATTCAACATTTAAACACAAAAATTGTGAAATTTTTAATTCAGAAACATCCGCAGATGTGTTCTTACGGCGGTTATCATGGAACCTTCAATGTGACACAGTAGTGTCATTCCATGAAAAGCGACGTATAGTCCCCAAGTAAAAGTTTGCGTGTGCCTTTAACGAGAAAACAATGGGCGGAACTAAATAAAATGGAATTTTGAAAGGGAATCTGAGGTTATGAAGCCTGCATATCACAGACAAGACGTCAAAAGACAAATTTAAAAAGCAGTTATATACATAAGGAATTATTCTCATTATTGTTTCTTCAATGAAAATAATATATATGCGCTATTCGTGTTTTGGTCTAATCTATGTTAAAGCAGTCTGCTGGATCAGAAAATTAAAACTTTAGTAGATTATTTACAAATTCTCTGTTTCAAAATCATATTCTACATTCTAATCAAACGATATTGACGTCATATTTTAATGTTTCAAAATATTGTAACATACATTATTTCAGCTGTATCTTAAATATTATACAATCTTAGAAAAGCAGCTTCTTTTTTTTCCGCAGAGTAAATTATGCAGTTGACCATTTGAACGCAAAAGTGGGTGTACCTACGTTTAGGGATCCCAAAACCGAACGATATTTCCCCCAGATATACAAAATGTATATAGAAGACGAGACATACTTGAATGCCATCCAGTGGGGCACTCTGTGCGCAGAGGGGATCGAGGTGACAGAATATAGTATGGAGAGGGAAAATTAGATGAGTGACAAATACACAACTAAACGCCAAACCTCATACAACAGGTCACAAAGAGAGGAATGACTGATGGTAGTAGAGCAAATACTGTTTACAACACTACATATAATAAATGATAAAAACATACAAGAACAACAACACCGCTACGTAAAAAATACAAATATATACATGTATTATATCAAGATAAATAAAAAAAAACCACCAGTTTGGAAAGGCAAATGTTTAAAAAGGTTATACCGTTGGAGTTGTTTAGCAATGAGAATGGTCTCCTTAATCTCAT